ATGGTATCTCGATCGATCGAGCTAAAACGCTGGCGAGCTCCTCGTCCGAAATCGGAGTGAGGCAATGCGAGGTAGACGGCGTCGGGGACGGCTGGTTAGGCATGCTGCGTACCGGGGTCTACACCTGCGCGATCCTGACCGAGCAGCGCCTTACGGCGCGCTCAGGCCGCTGGCACGGTATGGCGCCAGGTAGTCTCACGAAGACGAAGTAGACACTATTTTGGCTCGGAAACTAGGATGCTTACAGATCCGTGCGTGGCGGCGTAGTTGCGGTCCGTCCAATCTGGGAAACTCCAAGGCCGTAAAAATTATACAAAATAAAAAGGTTTGCAGAGTTTACTTGCAAACCAGGTTAATTGGTATGACTGTTAAAATAATAATTAAATTATTAAATAAACATAATTATTTATTAATACTTTAAAAATATTTATTAATCCAAAATAATATTACAAATGCGAAAGTGTGCTTGCCTGACTGTATGTAACTTCTTCACGGTTAAACCACTGAACCTAATTAGATTAAATTTAGCATAGAGATGGTTTAAGTATCGGGAAAGGACATAGGATAGTTTAAATCACCCTTTAAGAGGGGAAAACCAGGGTAAAAGTTTTTATGGGAAATCAACTTCTCCATGCAGACGAAGTCACGGGCACCCATTAGTCCTTCATAATATTGCTAAAAACACAAAGAATTCATATCTTTCTTTTCTCTATAAAAATGAATGTAAATATGCTGCTCTTATTAAAATAAAATTATTGTTGCTTATCAATATAATAATATCTCGCGTAATAAGTTGATACATGAGAAGTAAAAAATTCTAATTTATTTACAATAGAAAAACAAACCCGCGGGCGTGAGGAGTACAGAAAGAGAGAGAAAGTGCCAATTTTCCGAAGCCAAGCAAAACATCTAATTAACTGGCACATGCTGCGACACGAGACACCAGACGACGGTGTAAAAGATGACGTAAACTCGAAACGATGCCACTTAACTTGGAAACATAGTATTCAATGAAGCTTATCTATACATAGTATGAAATAAAGCAGTATCTCGCCTCTATCTTACGATCTATACGCTAACTCCTCCTAAAGCTAAGGTTTTTGATGTGATTTTTATCATAAGTTAGATGATTTTTCTTCTTTAAAGAAGTGTCTTTTAAGTGTCTTGAGAGACATATGATACTTTTTAACCTGGAAAAATGTCAGGTTCCTGTGGGATAAACTACCACGATCGCATTCCGAACATTTTAGCAGGTGGTTAGGTGGATAGTGATAGGAGGAGGAGGAATCCCTGCCGGGGTAACGTGGAGCGTCATCCGGATCCCACAAAACCTGTTTCGGCAGACGAGGGAGCACTGTTGGGTTTTTAGTGGGTAGCCCCCCCCCCCCTCATCCCGAGCAGCAGCCGAGCCAGGCAGTCTGGCTGGGCGGGTGGGCTTTATTTGGGGGGAGGAGGGGTACCACATAACCCCGCCACTCACCCAGGGCGGGGTATGCGTGCGTAACGCATTTTCCCAACATTTAAAAAAAAAAAGGTGGATAGTGATTCCCCTGCGTCATCAAGCTCCTCGTTAAAAATGGCGCAAATAGAAAGATGTGTTTAAAGTCATTGCGTGCTCTCTAAGTTTTTTCGGTCAAGTATGATAAATCAATTATCTTTAAAAGCATTTTGATGTGCTATTTTTATTAAATTCTGTTACTTAGACAGTCAACTTTGTTAATAATATTAGCTAAATTGAAATGTTACCTTTTCCTATGCGGCACAATATCTCTGTTCTTCTAATTGGCGGTGAATTAGCCTAGCTTAAGCAAATAGTCTTGCGAAGACAAAGCAATAAAGGTTTGACCTTCCTTATATTGCTTGGTTAGGCACGAATTGACAGTAGCACTCACACGAAATAAAGAAAATCTTCGTACAACTGGGCCACAACTTTTTTTAGTGTCCAATATTTTTCTATGCTTTCAATTTAGAGCTGTTTATATAGCTGTGGAAATTAATGGCAAGAAACCGAAATAGTACGTCGTAAATAACCACGAATTTCTCGTAAACACAAAAAGTGACAACAGAATTTCTAAGCCTCCGCTGTCCGTCTATCTGTCTGTATGCAGATAGAATTTCATTAATCGTAATTTTAAGAAACTGATATAATTTTGCATTATTTCTATTGCTGCAGTATCACTAAATAACCCCCCCTTTAACCATAGTACTTCAGCTATATTTATTTTATATTATTAAAAAAAATGGGTACATCAATTTTATTACAAAATAGTAATATTAGTTCATCTGTCATCTGAACAAAATATGAATATTTTAATTAAAGAGCATTATCATAATTCAAAATTACTATATCTATACTTATAATAAATCTGTAGAGAGGTCAATTCTGTACATGAAATATTTTTTCAAAATAACTATCAGGGGGTGATTAGTGATCGATACTGATGCCAAAAATGCAATCAGTAATTTTTTTGTCTGTCTGTCTGTGTGTATGTTCCTTATAGAAACAAAAACTACTCGACGGATTTTAACGAAACTTGGTACAATTATTTTTCATACTCCTGGGCAGGTTATAGTATACTTTTCATCACGCTACAATCATTTGGAGCAGAGTAGTGAAGGGAAATGTTGGGAAAACGGGAGAAGTTACTCCATTTTTTAAGCTTCCGTCGCGTGTGTAGCCTTAATGGTTAAAGTTACATAGAAATCATGTATGACGAAAATATTTTACATAAAATTATCTAAAAAATATCCCGGAACAGCATATGTCTATCTTTTATGGTTGTCTCACAATAACACGTGTAACTCCTGATAGCTTAGCAGTTCGGAGCATTCAGATTATATTTGTTTACTCTTACGTTTATAATACTCTCACTCATCCCTTATTTAAAAAAGTTATCATTATTACCTATTCAATAAAAAAAGAATCATAAAAATCGGTATAGAAACACCAAACTTATACATGAAATAAGCCATTGCGCCGTCGCGTCGCACGTGAATACTGAATCATGCTATAAGGATTATTTTTCTGTAACGGTTGCCGCGCTCGACACAATACACATTTACACAATATGATATAAAAAGGCGGGAGGTCCGCGAGCTAGGAGCAAGCACTCTTTTAGGTGTGTATTCAATTTTTGACTGTTGATGCGTTCCGAGCGTTCGAACTTATTGACAAACAATATAATTGATATTGAGAAACCGTGCTTATCAGCGCGATGTTTAGTCTTTAAATAGTTTATTTGAATTTCTTTTGTTGTTATTTTGTAAAATAGGTATTAGTTGTTTTGGTAGTCTTTAAATATTCGTTCAAATTAAAAATTATTAAGCGTAGGTACTTTTAATAATTAAAGTAGTTAGGTATAATAAGAATGTCTTAGTGTATAATACAAGCCTGAGAACAAAAACTATAGTCTACACTTCAGCTCTACGAAGCGAAGCGAGGGCGGGCCACTAGTAGCTAATAAAATTAATTGTGTCATGTGTGTATTTGTCTATATTTCGATACTAATATTATAAAGAGGGAAGATTAGATTGTTTGTTAGTTACTTCGAAACTACTAGACCGATTTTTAAAAAAAATCGCATTTAGAACCCTTCATTATCTCTGATGAACCTAGGCTATACAGTATAATAAAAAAATAGGGTAAAAACTTTGATATTATAACCCAACGAGTGAAAAAAATAGCAAAATATAACTTTATATCGCGTATGCTGCGGAAGTCATTGACAATAGAGCAAAGTGATGTACTAAAGTTTTATAGAAGACATCAATATCTACAAAAGAGTCAGTGATACCATATGTCTAACTAATGCAGTTATGTCACTACTAGAGGCCCCTGCTGTTTCACCCGCGTTAATTTGAGGAAAAAGGTTATAGAGTGTCAATCTTAAAAGATAGACACATGCTGTCGCGAACTTTTTCAAGGAACTTTTAAAGGGAAACAATTTCATCAAACATTATTTGTGTGTAACGAACTCCGTGGCCGAGTGGTTTGTATGCCGGGTTTCATGGTGTCGCCGACTCGAAGGATCCTGCGTTCGAATCCCGGTGGGGGCAGATGTTTGTATGATGAACACAAGCATTTGTACTCCAGTCATGGATGTTTCATATGTCATCATCATCATCAGTCTCTTAGTATGTATTTCTATATAAATATACTTATATATGTATTCTACCCGTTACCCTAGTATCCCATAACACAAGCTTATAGTGCTTACTTTGGGGCTAGGTTAATTGGTGTAAGTGTTGAAAATATTTATTATTTATTTTATTTAACTTTGACTGTTAACCCAGCGTACGCAACGGAACAAGCTCACAAATGGAATATTTTTATCCGTTTTTGTAATATTTTTCATGGATGCTCGGCTTCTACTGGTCCTAGCGTGATGTTATGTAACCGATGGCCTTCCTTTATAGATACACTATCCAACACATTTTTTTTTTCAAATTGGACCAGTATTTTCTAAGATTGGCGCGATTAACCAAATATAAAAACAAACTCTCCAGCATTGATATTAGTAAATATATGTAACTACTTCTTCGTGGTAAAATATGAACATATATTAAAAACAATTTGGAATTGTAGACCAAATATCTAACTTTAAAATTTTTCGTAATCAACTTCAAAGTTAAAGCAAGCGATGACGTGTTTAAATATAACATATCTAGCTGGACACAGATTTTTAAAATCGTTATTTTTATATGGCAGCTGCTGGGGTCATAGTCTTTTTCTATAGATGGAATATGTACCTCGCAGCCTTATTGCGGATTAGTGAGTTCTAACACAAAATACTATCTGTGGTTCTAACGACTGCAGATCAGTCCGGACCAACGTCTCAACGTGCCGTTTGAAGCACAGAGCAGCACAAAATAGTGAAATTTGGGGTCACACGTTCCATCCATTATAGTTTTTTAACTTCGACAAATGCAGACTGAACGCTATAACTACAATACCTACTTTGTAATAATAATAATAATAAAATTACGTCCTCTTCTGACAGGAATGGATGTGGACGTTAACAGGACACAATCGGCAGCCGGGAGTGAAGAGGGCTGACACCGTTGGTGAACTGCAGATAATGTTGCCTATGCAAATGTCGGAGAACTCAGGTGACGTCTGTCTGCTGGCCGAGAGCCCCTACAGGATACTAAGGGTAAGTCTTTACAAAACCATCTAGATCGGGCTGTAGTCATTACAATACTCCCTTGAACCATAGCCCAAGGACGAATAACTAGCAAGGAAGTATATGTATATCTTCATTTCAAAGTTTCTATGAAAAAAGCAAAAGCCAGTTCTTGCGTACGTTCCATAGAAACTTTGACGTTGGAGATACGAATATGAATCTGTCAAAGTTCTTGCTTGGGTTCATCATCATCATTAGCCGATGGACTTCCACTGCTGGACATGGGTCTTCTCAAGAGATTTCCATGCATAACGTGCTTTGCGCATCCCCCGACTCGCTTGATGTCGTCAGTCCACTTGATGACGGATCTACCGACACTGCGCTTCCCAGGTCGCCATTGTAGCACCTTGGGACCCCAACGTCCATCGGTTCGCCGAAGTATGTACCCCTCCCATTACCACTTTAGCTTTGCTACGCAGATTTTGGACAAATGTCAAATATCTACTGCCAGGGACTTCAACAGACATTGCAACATTTAAACATGTAATGGCGTAATACATATAAAGAAGGATATTGATAGAAGAAGTGAGATTTTATTTTACAGTATCACCCTGCTGGTCTGAACAACTCTAGCTTTTGTTTACAAGGCGCGTGGGCGTAGGTGATTTGGTCATTTGGGGTATTCTGACGTGCTTAAGCTGACGAAATCGGAGGGAACTACAAGTGGTGGGAGGGAGGGCGGTAGAGCGGACGTGTCATAACTAGATGTTTTACGCTTAAGACTAATATAATACTTAGCATGTCCTACACAATGAATTAAGATAACAATGACTAGGTCAGACAAAAAATACAACCAATTATAAATATAACCACTGATGTTTTCCTTTTAATGGACCATGAAAGTGGATAGGTGTATCTATAACATTAGGCCATTGGTAATCTATGATAAGTGCTATCAATGAAAGTTAAATACATACAATTTGCATACAATCTAGAACAGTCTACGCGATATTATCATGAAGTTTGCTGTCAAAGTGAATTAAACCCATTATGAGTATTTGATGGTGAAATCACCCGTAATGTTTCGCAATAGGATGAAATTTTGTATCATGAACTATGACAGCTCATACGGTAATGACTGTCAATCAAAATGAAAGAATACGCTTGAAAATTCTGAATGATTACTAATATCATGGAATGAAACAGAGAAGTCATCATTATCAGCTTATTAATGGCCCAATACTGAACGTACTTTGACAAGCATTAAATCTAATTGAAATCTTTGAGTGCGATGTTACCAAAAAAAAACAGCCTACATTTATTATATCAGTCAGTTTAGTATAGTCACATACCCATTGACGAATAAAGTACTTACACTTTTTAAAGACTATATCTATAATATATCGCTAAGTTTTTACGTGCATTTTAGCTGGAAAAGCATCCTCATGCAAATATTAAATTGAAAAGCCGGTGGCACAGCTTCTCAGTCGTCTGTCTCAAATAAAATATACATTGAGTGTTAATATGTTTGATCAACTGCAGAAATGCAACTAAACATGTAATATTTCCAAATAATATCATTTGTACAATACAATTAATTAACAGAGGCCAAATGAGGTAATTTTTTATTGGTTTCCACAAAATAACATTAGCTTTTAAAGAAAGGAAAAATCCTTTTGCGTATACAAAAACGGTTAACTGTTCTGTTCAACTTTTAAAAATTTTCCCAAACTATGTCATTAACCCAGGGCACTCAACGACTTTTCAGGAGTACGCACAATCCATTAATATATCTTTATTTTAAACATGTTAAAGTTGGAAGTTGATTTGTGGGATGTGTCGGTTTTGTTAACAGTTACGCAACGGATACCAACTAATCCTTTATCGGTCGAGCTAGAGTGCTAGGCCATCATCAGCCAAACACGACCGATCAAATCAAAAGTATGTAATACAGGCTGTTTAGCCTTCCTGCCGGCATACAACCGTCCTATAATTGTTGTTGCTAGTTGAATGCTTAAATTGAGAAGAGCCAGAAGGATGTAATAAACTTTTTCGCGTAATTTAGTTTACTGATGTCAGCATACTAGAATGCTTTATTATTTTGTAAAGAGCACTCTTCTTATCATTTCTCAATTGGGAACGCAGTTAAAATCACTGAAAAAGTGACATTTATCTCAACTCCGATAAAGTTGAATTTTGAGAAGCACGCATCTGTTCAATACTTGAATACGCTATAATGAAATTCTACTCTGTACTTGTAACACACTTGTCAGCTATGTTGGGTCGTTAGCCTAATCAAGTTTGAACAAGCGGGTTGATAAAGGTAGCACATTATGACAAGCGAAGCGACCAGAGAAATTGGTCTAAGTATAAATTAATAAAATGACCTGATAACCTCGTTATATAAGGAACATGACACCTTAATTAAATTAAGGTAAAAGGAAGGCCCTAATAATATTAATTAAAAAAAATATGAAGGAGAGGTTTATACAAATTTCCAACGGAATACTGTTAGGATTTAGACAGAATTTTATTAGGCATTAAGCATAATGTTTGTAGTCAATGGGTGAAATAAGGTTACTGTGGTAACCTAAACTTAGAGTGAGTCGAGCGAGCGAAACGAGCATGCCGTGGCATTGGCCGGCGAAGCTCCAGCGACAATATATATTATAATAGATAAATATATAAGAGGTTAAATATTTGTATGCCAATAGACGATCCAGTCTGTATAATTCATGCGATATGATGCTTTTGCTTTTTAAATTTTATGGATACTAAATTTATGCCAAAAGATGTTTTTATCTTACAAAATTATCCGTGATGATTTATTGCGAAATGAAGTTGATGCCCTCCGTTGACATGCATATTAATATTATGATAATAAAAACAGAATGAAGTATATTAACATATCGAAACCAAACTAATGTTAAACCAAGTTTAAATTTATATACAGTTTAACGAAGAGAAGAAATAGGAATGTAGTTTTCTAATTGATTTATATTCATATCTAAAAAAATGTTACTCTAAAATATGCGCAATGCATTTACATGGATAGCAAAGGACGATAGTTCGATACCAGCCTGATAAAATTCAAGTCCAATATATTGTAAAAAGGTTAGCATTCAATTTTAAAATGTAACAGTATAATGCTTGAATAAAAACATCACGCAAATAAAATATCTAATCTATTCATAATACAAGTGTTATAGTTTATAGTACCCTGTAGTTAATATACACGCTGTCGCTACCTCTCTTTAATAAATGAATCCTTTGTTATACGACCACAGCTTTAGATAACTGGAGGACCCGCTAAAACGTCTAATGGACTAATGTTGTTTTGTGATCACATTAATAAAAGTAATATTATGTGATGATAAAATTATATCGCATTCGAGTGCAATATGGAGTAGGATAGACGGCAGATATAATGTGGATATTCAGACGAGCGCATACGCTCCCATGCATCCCTGCACTGCCAGCTAGGTTGCAAGAGGTAGGATATCTATATTTTTTTTATTTATTTTACCTTTTGTAGTGTGTAATTTTTTTTATTTTGTAAATGTGTGTCGATCTCTAAATAAACTTTTATAACGACCTGTATTTCATATTTTTTAGGTTATTATAGTAACGTTTAGATATAGAATGAGTGCTACGTTGTAAGTAGGATTTAAGTAATTGAAACTACAGTCTGTTCATCCTAACTTGTCCTATTTGGTAAACAATTTTGGCACTCCTTTTTATTGAATAGGTTTTAGTCTAAAATAACGATTTATTGTAAGAGATTATTGTCTTTGTTCTTATTTTATTTTTAAATAGGTGAGATTGTTTACCAAATAGGACAAGTTAGAATGAACAGACTTTACTTGTGATAAAACATAACAAACATACATGAAGATAAAATTATATAATAAAAAAATAACTAAAAGTAAACGGTACATAAACGTAAAAAAAGAAAGCTCAGGGGCGATAGTAGGGTTCCTTGATCTTTACTCGTCATCAGTAGTCGAATAGCGAGTTGTTTAGCAACAATACCGTCCTTGGTGGTGCCGGTTCTAGGTGCAGGAGCAGCAGGGCAGGACAGCAGGGTAGGCTCAAATAGCGGTAGAAAGCACGGTGGTAACAAGTTAGCAGATGTAGGGATGGATAGGCCGATGAAGAGTGTTGGTAGGTAGTTAGAGCAGCTGGTATGAACTTCCTAGCTGGTAGGTGGTCCCTAGAATTTAATACCAATTTTTGGTGGAAGTTTGCATGGTAATGTACATCTTATCATTCTCTTATTTTAGAAGTTACAGGGGGGGGGCACATTTTACCACTTTGGAAGTGTCTCTCGCGTAAACTATTCAGTTAAGAAAAAAATATATTAGAAACCTCAATATCATTTTGGAGATCTATCCATAGATACACCACACGGGTACGGGTTTGATGAAAAAATGTTCTCCTCCGAAATACCTCAGTGCCTGAAGGCCAAGTCTTTGAACAGTACGTATTGCCGGCACATACAGGGCTGAAACGTGGTCGTTATTTATGGGCCTCATAAGAAGGCTCAAAGTCGCATAGCGAGCGATGGAGAGAGCTATGCTCGATGTTTCTCTACGTGATCGAATCAGGAATCAGAAAATCCGTAGAAGAACAAGAATAACCGACATAGCTCAACGGGTCGGCAAGCTGAAGTGGCAATCGGCGGGGCACATAATTCGGCAAACCGACACATGTTGGGGTCCCAAGGCGCTTCACCCTCGTACCGGGAAGTGCAGTGTCGTTAGACCCCTCACCAGGTGGACTGATGACAGCGATTCGGGGGTACCCACTGGATGCGGAGAGCGCAGGATCGTTGCATATGGAATTCCCTTGAGGAGGCCTATATCCAGCAGTCGATGTCTATCAGCTGATGATGAAGTCACGTATGGTCTTATTCAATTGTTACGCAAAGAAAGTGACAGGATGTGGGCGTTAGGTAAGGCCCTGTTACTTTCTTTGTGTGCCAACTCCAAAAAGTAGAGCCAACTCCACAAAACATCGTCTTTACCATCAGCCTACCTATTAAATTGTAATGTGCCTAATACTGTTGGGGCACTGACCTTTTCTGAAGAAGAAGGAAGAACAGGCCTGACCAACTACGGGGGCCTAGTACGGTTTTATGTTTAAGGTGTCTTCCAAAGCACAGAGTATGTCGAGATAACAAACCCTTGAACACCCATCCTTTAGCCGTTGTGAAAACTGCTTAACTGCTGCGATCATAGACAAGTTATATTGACATGAAACTTCTACGTACACTTAGCGTTTTTATTTAAATTGTTTCATGTAAGAACTAAACGTAAATGCATTTAAATAAAAAACATACATACGAAGTGTATACCATCAAAGTCGTTAACACGACTAGCAAACCGTAATTACTCAATTACTTAGTCGTTTTTTACAACTCTATAGCAAGTGATGGTTATAAGCGAGACGTTATTACACTCAAAATGGTTCGTGTTAACTGTAAACACGATTGCATTTTGTTTTCCTTTTAAAATATAACAAACATAAATGGTCTGCCTTTTTAATCTTTGAAG